CCCCAGCACCGCCCCTCGGGCCCGAGGGAGTAGAGGAGGAGACTACGACCACCATCATCACCACGACCACGGTCACCACCACAGTGACCAGCCCCGGTGAGGTCATGGGAGGGGGTGGGGCGCTGTCCAGGAGCAGCACAGATGCGGGAGGGGAAGATGCTGGGCCGGGTGAGGAGCGGCTGCCCGGAGCCTGAGGAGGACCTCCAGGTGCGGGAGGGGAGGAGCTCTGCCCCAGACTGTGCGCCCTTCCGCGCTCCAGGCGTGAGCCTTGTCTGTCTGTAAGACAGCTGGGCAGGGTCCTGGGCACAGGGCGGAAGGGCGCACCGGAGAAGACAGACGAGGCCCTCAGGGGCTGCTTGGGGAGGAGAGCAAGAGTCCAGGGCCTCCCTCAGCACTGGCCACTTCTCTCTCCAGTTCTGTGTAACAACAACATCTCTGAGGGCGAGGGCTTCGTGGAGTCTCCGGATTTGCTCAGCCCCACCGGCCGCACTTCGGGGCTCCTGGACTGCACCTACAGCATCCACGTCTACCCGGGCTACGGCATTGAGATCCAGGTAGCTGTGCCCAAGCGTGAGGCTGCGGCCTCCCAGCCCTTTCCCCAGGGACCGCTCCGTGTGCACAGACTTGGCCCTATAGGCAGAGGGGCTTATTTCCTAACTCACACGGGTCTGCTCTCTGACTCAGAGGATCTCTCCAACGGTTCCACAGCGCGGGCAGTGTCCCTGTGGTTTGAGGGCCACAGAGAGAAAAAACAAAGGCGGAGGGTAGGGGGCCTGGGGAGCCGCCCCCCCCCCGGGCTGACTTGCTCTGGCCTGTGTCTGGCTTCTTCAGGTACAGACACTGAACCTGTCTCAGGAGGAAGAGCTCCTTGTGCTGGCTGGTGGGGGATCCCCAGGCCTGGCCCCCCGGCTGCTCGCCAACTCCTCCATGCTGGGAGAAGGACAGGTCCTTCGGAGCCCAACCAACCGGCTGCTCCTGCACTTCCAGAGCCCCCGGGCCCCGAGGGGAGGTGGCTTCAGGATCCACTACCAGGGTGAGGAGTCTAAGGGGCTGGGAAGGGCTGGGGCTGCGCTGGGCACAAGGGACATTTCTGGGGCCTTCCAGGCACAGAGTGCTGTGGGACTGTTCCTCCTTGATGGATCCTGGGGAGTGGGACCCTCAGGACAGGCCGATGCACTCTTGTCTCGCACACTCTGAGTGTGCACGTATAAAGTGGCATTCGTCCATTAAACTCAATAAATTCTGAGCACTTACTTTACACCAAACTATGCCGGTAGCCTTGAGGAGAGCAACCAATGACCCAAGCATTAATCTGACTCTGAGGAGCTCAGAATGTGGGTGGAGAGACAGACAGGGAGTGGAGATGGTTATGATTCACTGAGGTAAGAGCTGTACTGGAGGAGATACAGGCACGGGGAGCGATATGAAAAGGGACCTAAGTTTTTCTAAGAACTATGGGGATGCCATCTTGGAGGAGGTGAAGACAAAGCTGAGACCCAAGGGATGAGTTAGCTAAGGGCAAGGTGGGAGGGAGAAAAAGAGGGAAGCAGCTATCCAGATGGGTGGAAAATCACATTCCCAGTCCTGCAGAGGAAGATGTCAGTCCTAGCGAGGAGTGATTCAATATGAAGATGGCATTGTCTGACTGTGTGACCTGGAACAATTTACTTAACCTATATGAGCTTCATGATCTCATTTAAAAAATAGGGCCAGGTGTGGTGGTACACACCAGTAATCTCAGTACTCAGGAGGCTGATGCAGGAGGATTGCCATGAATTCAAAGCCAGCCTGGGTTACACAGTGAGTTCAAGGCCAACCTGAACAACATAGTGAGATCCTGTCTCAAAAAAGCAAAAAAGGGCCAGGGATTTAGCTCAGTGGTGCCATGTCTGCCTCGCAAGCACAAGGTCCTGAGTTTGATGCCCGATACTGAAAAAGCAAACAAACAAAAAAAAGTAAGAAAAATAGGGATCAAGCTAGGAATGATGGCCAACACCTCTAATTCCAGCCCTCAGGGAGGCTGAGGCAAGAGGATCAGAAATTTGAGCCCAGCCTCGACAGTTTAGGGATGTAGAAGGACCCTGTCTCAAAATTAAAAATGCTGGAGATGTAGTACAATCTGAAAGCCCTCGGTTTAATCCCCAGTATCTAATCATAATCACAGTACTGCATGGTACACTTAGGAAGATCACATGAGTTAGTGTACATATCAAATGTTCAAAACAGTGTCTGGTACACAGTAAGAGCTCAGAATATCAATCATTGCTATCAGAGTCAAAGTATAGAAGGTGACCGGAGAAAGGACCTAAGAGACCTGGCTGGGAGACAGGGTGGATGTGGGTCATGGGGGGCCTCATCAGCTTTTCAGACTATTTAACCTGCAGGTGAGAAGGGGACCTTGGACAGGCTTAGATGGGTCACCTAGAAAGATCCTTTTGACTCCTGGGGACAAGGAAGGGAGGCCCTGCCTGCACTCATGAGCACCCACCCATAAGTCATGTCTGCACATGCACATGTGTGCTAACCTGTGTGTGTGGAAGTGTACATTCTAGCACACATGTATCACAAGGCACTAGGCTTAGCCGGTGTCCCCATTCCAGGTGCTGCTGTCTCCTCCCAAGCTCCTCCCTGTGCTCCTTTGAAACAGGGACCCATGTGCCGGACAGTGTCCCCTTCACATCACGTTAGGGCTTCACCGTGGGAGCCTGGTGCCCCCAGTGCCCTGCGCATCGTGTTCAGGACACAGTTCGTCCTCATGCCCTCCCCAGCCATCCTGAGCCTGCGCTCTAGGTCTGCCTGGGGCCTCATCCTGCAAGGTAGAAGCACTGCTGAGGAGGCCAGCAAGCTGGACATGTCCTTGTTGACAGACCTGGTTGTTGGGGAGCAAGAGTGTCTTGAGGGTTGGCAGAGGCTGTGGATGCCCCCTGGCTCCTATAAGCAGCCATTTCCCTCAGGCATTGAAAATAGGACTTGCAGGCTAAGTGAAAGGTGTGGGGAAGCCGGGTTATTGCAGTAATTGGCCTTCATTATGTGCCTTGGTTTCCCCTGCTCTGCAGCTCCTCCAGGCACCATTGGGACTGGAGCCCTGTCTCAGCCCTTCCCAACCTCCACTGCCTGGAGCCACTGTCCCCACGAGGCCTCCTGAGCTTCTCTGAAAGTCCTGGACTTTGCTGTCCTCCCCCAGGTCCAGCAAACTTGCCTGTGTGCAGAATCTCCTCACCAACCTCGTGCCTCTCCCCTGGCCATGGTCAGCTTCATCCCTCAGAGGGAGAAAAAGACTCAAGGCCATAAGGGTTTCTCAGTCCCTGCCAGTTCTCATGGAGTAGAAAAACCAGATCCCTAAGTCCCCAGCTCCACTCTTATGTGGCAACAAACATGTTCTGAGCACCTTCTGTGTACTGGCTGCTTGGAGTGTTTCTTTTATTTAATTTTCAGGCTAATCTTCATGGATAGGAATAATTGCCACCAATGAGTGAGGGGTCTCAGTGGTGAAGCCACCTACACAGTCGTGAAGCTAATGAGTTGTCGGGCTAGAAATAGATCTCAGGCCAGCCTGCCTCCAAATTTATCAGCCAGCCTAAGCTTTTTTTAAAAAATTAATTAATTAACTTATTTGGTACTGGGGATCAAACTCAGGAACTTGTGCTTGCCTTTGCCAGGAAGGCTTGGTGCCTTCCTGCTACATCCCTGGCCCCTTTAAGCTTTCAGAAGATAAGATACACAAGTCTTTTTTAAGTCTCACAGTGACAAGAGACAGGAGTTATTGTGATGGCAAAGTTATGCATGTGAATATATATACATGTGGTGGCACTGGCCTGCAACCCAGCACTCAGAAGAGGCTGAGGCAGGAGAATTGCAAGTTCTAGGCCAGTCTGGGCAACTTAGTGAGAATTGTCTAAAAATATAGAAAAACTTGTGTATAGGCAAGAGAATAAGTATCAGAGATAGCAGGGCCAGGTAGGCTTCCTGGAAGGGATGGAATGTAAGTTACTCTTTGAAGGATAACATGGAGCTCAGAAGGCCCTAACAGATACAGACCTGGATGTAAAGTATATATAATATATAGAGAGGAAGGACAGTAAGGAGTCACAATGCTGTGGTTTAGCATATATAGCTCTCTAGTTCAGTGGTGCCACCACCTGCCTCACCAGCACAAGGTCCCAAGTTCAATTCCCAGTACCAAAAAAAGAAAGAAAAGTAGAATATATCGCTCTCAGGTGTGGACCCCTAAAGTACTGGGCTGAACCCAGCTGTAAAAGGAGTTGAAATGTCCAGCTAAAAGCATTCAGACTTCATTTCTTTGACCACAGAGGGCCAACACAGGGTTAGCATCTACTTTAAAGCACTAGAAGCTTCTGGAAGGTTGTTTCCATGTCTGTCTGTAGACTGTAGACTCCTGAACAGCATGGGCCTGGGTCTTTATTCCCTCTGTCCCAATAGCCCAGCTAAGAAAATGATCGTTGAATCTTGACATTTGGAGCAAAGAAGCTGTCTTACAGAGTCACTGCTGACGGCAGATCCAAGGGCGGCAAAGCCCAGGCAAGCTGGTTTCTCCACACCTCTGCTGGGGAAGCACCACTGCGTGTGAACACTTGCCTGAAGCATGGTCCCCCTTCCTCAGGGAGGGTTCTCTCCATCGAGGGGACACGTGGGGAGGGCTTAGGTAGCAGAGGCACCCCCACCCAGCTGGCCAGATTAGCTGAATCAACCCTGGCAATCCATAGCCCTGCGCAGATGTGAAGCCAGATTGGCCGGAATCCAGGAAGCCCTTGATGAGCTCTGCCAGGTTCTGTGGGGATCAAGTTCAGGGCCTGTCATTTATCAACAAGTGGACTGCAGTTTGTTTTATCCCATCTACTTCCACAAGAATTTCAGGAGGCTTTTCAGAAAGAATTAAAACAATACAATTATATAGACTATGTAAGGAAAAAGTGGCACCAGGGAATGATTATTTGAGTTTTTAAAAATGGAATGTGAGGGCAGGGACTTAGCTCAATGGTTCCACCACCTGCTTTGCAAGTGCAAGGACCTGAGTTCGATCCCTGGTACAAAAAAAGAAAAAAAAAGAAAGAAATGTGAAGGGACAGGCTATTATTGCTAGGGACAAGATTTAATCTGATTCCGAGCCACCTGGCAGCCAGTGCAAAAAGGGAAGTAACGCAATTCTCACTGCAAGAAAGAAGACAAAACAGTTTCTCAAAGAATGCACAACTTTCCCAGGCACCCCATTTTCAGTAGGGGATTCATGAGGGGACACTGAATGTTAATGTCTCTAATGACAAAATAATCAATTTCTCATGGAGTTTTATATGGCTGGCCTGACTGAAAGCTGAAAGTAGTGGTCCTCCGTGGAAGTCTGTGAGAAAAAATGCTATGAGGTGCTGAGTAAGTGGAACCTCAGTTTACGCACTGCCTTTCTCTGCCTACCTCAGACTCACCGTAAGAGCTCATTTGGGGAGTGGACACACTCTGCAAAAACCATGGCCCGTTATTAGAGCTGCATGGAGTTCAGGGGGTCAGTGGTTGGCCCCAGGTCCTATGACCAATGAGGACAGGTCCAGAATGATTTCCTTGAGCCTCAGTTATCTCATCTATAAATGGGAGCCAAACTGGGTAACTTATAAAGTCGAGAGGAGAGGCTGGATGTGGCAGTTTCCTCCTCATGAGACTGAGCTGTGCGAGGCGTGTGTGGGAGGAGGGTCGGTATGGCATTGGCATGGCCATGAGTGTCCCCCACCTGCTCTGTGGTGCAGCCTACCTGCTGAGCTGTGGCTTCCCACCCCGGCCGGCCCACGGGGATGTGCGTGTGACAGACCTGCACCCTGGGGGCACCGCCACCTTCCACTGTGACTCGGGGTACCAGCTGCAGGGTGAGGAGACACTCACCTGCCTCAATGGCACCCGGCCAGCCTGGAGCGGGGAACCCCCGAGCTGTGTGGGTAAGTCTGTCACTGGGTGGTGGCTCTGGGCCTAGGAACCTCGTTGGAGGTCCTGCCATGGGGGTCTCCATTTCTTGGGAACCCATCCTGAAGAAGTTTCTATTCCAAAAAGGCCCCATCCTCAGGTATCTGTCCCGGGGAGCTGCCAGTCCTGGCAGCTTCCATCTTGGGCTACCCCACTTCCTGTCATGTCAGAGGAGGCCATTTTCAGGGTTCACAGCGGAGGGCCCTATGTCCTAATGAGTCTGTCTTGCGATCTCCCATCCTGCGGTGTCTTCACTCGGGATCACACCATGAAGCTTCCCACCAGGGTTTCCAGGGCCCCTCACCCTGTCTCAGGGCATCCATACCCCACGTCCTCCATCCTGGAAGGCTCCTTCTGGGAAGGCTATCTCAGGGCTGGCTCCCTTCCTGGGCATGACCTGGGGTGGGTCCTGTCCCTGAGGTGAGCATGGGGCAGAGGCCAGCCGTGGTCCAGGCCAGGCTGAAGATGCGGCTGGACTGGAGCTGCCTTCATCCATTCCCTGCCCACAGCATCCTGTGGTGGCACCATCCACAACGCTACACTAGGCCGCATCGTGTCCCCTGAGCCCGGGGGAGCGGCAGGACCCAATCTCACCTGCCGTTGGGTCATTGAAGCCTCTGAGGGACGCCGGCTACACCTGCACTTTGAGAGGGTCTCGCTGGACGAGGACAATGACCGGTGAGTCTGGGCTTCGGGTCGGACGTCCCTACCCTGGGGCAGTGGGGTGATGGGATGGGGAGTCAGATCTGAGAGGGCATTCTGCTGGGATGTGCCAGAGTCTGGTCCTAACCCTCTCTCTCTCTCTCTCTCTCTCTGTCTCTCTATTTTTAATTTTATGGTACCAGGGATCAAACTCAGGACCTTGCCCTTGTGAGGCAGGCGGTACCACCACTGAGCTAAAGCCCCAGCCCAAACCCTAGCCTAAAGAATGTAACTGTGCAATCTTAGATGAAACACTTAAGCTCTCTGAGCCTGTTTTCCCATCTGTAGAGTGGAGATAGCAGCACTTCTCTAAATGTATAATTACTAAATGCGTTAAAATATGTAAAATACTTGAAATGGTGCCTAGGACATAATAAGCACTACAAAAATGGTTGCTGTCATCATCATCGTCTTTGTTGGTAGGTTTTTGTTGCTGTTGGTAGGTTTTTAATCACATCTTCAATTTCATTGGCTGATACTGGCTTATTAAGAATTTGTATATGTTCTTATTCACCTTTGGTAATTCATATGTATCTAGGAACCTGTCCATTTCTTCTGTACTTTCCATCATATCAGAATACAGATTTTCAAAGTAGATATTGATCTTCTGTATTTCTGCAGGATCCACTGTGATTTCACCCTGTTCATTCCTAATTGCATGGATTTGAGTCTTTCCTTTTTTTGATAAGGTTAGCTAAGGGTTTGTCAATTTTATTTAATATTTCAAAGAACCAACTCTTCAATTCATTGATTCTTTATATTGTTTTCTTAGTCTCCTTTGCATTAATTTCTTCTCTGATCTTTGTCCTTTCCTCCCCCGTACAAGCTTTGGGCTCGACTTGCTCCTCTTCTAAAAGCTTGAGGTTTAGGTTGGGGATTTAGCTCAGTGGTTCTGTCACCTGCCTCACAATCACAAGGTCCCAAGTTTGATACCTGGTACTACTACTACTACTACTACTACTACTAAAAGCTTGAGATTCAACATTAGGTTGTTTATTTGAGCTCGCTCTTTTTTTCTGATCTGGGAATTTACTATAACAGGGAACATGGACTGCTTTCATTGCACCTCATAAGTTCTGGTATGTTGTACTGTCATTATCATTTAATTGTAGAAACTGTCTAATTTCTTCTTTAATTAGTCTGTGACCCTTTGGCTGTTCAGGAGGATGTTATTTAACTTCCATGTGTTTATCAAGTTCTTGTGGTTTCTTTTGCCATTGATTTCCAATTTTATTGCACTATAATCTGATATATGCTTGAGAGAATTTCAGCTCCTTTGCATTTACTTAAGCATGTTCTATGGGCTAGTATGTGGTCTACTTTGAAAAAAATCCCATATACAGCTGAGAAGAATGTGTATTCTGATGTTGTGGGGTGGAATACTCTGTAGACATCTAAGATGATGTGTTCAAAAGTTTTGGTTCAATGCTGATTTGTCTTTGTTGGGGTTTTGTCTCTTTGATCTGTCTGTGGCAGTGGAGTATTGAGGTCTCCCATTACAATTGCACTAGTGCTTATTTGATTTTTTCATATCCATTAATATTTGTTTTATATAACTGGGTTGCTGATATTTGATGCATATATGTTTATGATTGTTATCTGTTCCTCTTGGATTGTTCCCTTTACCAGGATGTAGTGAATTTGTCTCTCTGAATAGTCTTGGCTTGAAATCCACTTTGTCTGCAAATAGAATAGCTACTGCTGCTTTTTTCTGGGTTTCTGTCACATAGAGTATTGTTCTCCATCCTTTGACTGTCAGTTTATGAATTTCTTTATCAATTAAGTGTGTTTCCTATATGCAGCATATTGTTGGCTCTTCCTTCTTGATCCATTCTGCCAGTCTATTTCTGTTGATTGGTGAATTGAGACCATGTAGCTAGATGGCTATAACTGATATGTATTGACTTATCCTTGTCATGTTATTTTCCTGTTGTTGGTTCCCTCTTTGCATCGTCATTATCATTTTTACCTAACAATCTGGTACCTCAGCTCTGCCCCTACTTGCCATGTGATCTTAGGGTACTTCACCTTTCTATACCTCACTGTCTTCATCTATAAAATGAGGGATAACAATGGTGTCCGACTCAAGAGCACTTGTGAAAATCAAACAAGATAACATGTGCCAGGGCTCAGAAGAATGTGTGGCATATGGTAATGTTTGTTAGTAAGAGCTATAGAGATCAGCTAGGAGAGCAGCCAGAGGCAGGCAGCTTTGAGGGGAAACAGAGCTCCTTCCACCCTTCTGTCCATTACAGGCTGATGGTTCGCTCAGGGGGCAGCCCCCTGTCCCCCGTGATCTATGACTCCGACATGGATGATGTCCCAGAGCGCGGCCTCCTCAGTGATGCCCAGTCCCTCTATGTGGAGCTGCTCTCAGAGACACCTGCCAACCCCCTGCTGCTCAGCCTCCGATTTGAAGGTAACCCACCCAGGCCCTCTTCCTGACACAGACACAGTCCCGAGTGCGTCCTGCCCTCCTGCTTGGCTCATGGTTGGCTGTCCCACGTCTGACTTCTTTCTCCAACCCAAAACTACAGAGACCACTTCTTATGGACCCCTTTCATTCCGTGACAGCCATTTCTAACTAAGCTTCACGCACAAGGTATGATTGGAAAATACTGTGAATGTTGAAGACATTTTAAGAATGTTATTACAGTAAGAAACACATGGCCACTAATTCCCCTCAAAATACTCCCTCTTATTTTGAACACACTTATGTTGACGTTCTTGCCACTTTCTGATGCACTTCTGGAAGTCCTCTTTTGTGAGTTTCTTTAGTTGTGCTATCGTGGCTGCTTTGATGTCCTAATCAATTCAAAAGATTTGCCTGTGCTCATTTTGATCTGAGGGAAGAGCCAGAAGTCACACTGTGCCAGATCCAGTGAGTGAGGTGGATGAAGACGATCATGGTTTTATGAGCCTGCCTTTCTATTGGATGGCACTTGGCAGAAGCATTCTGTGTTTTAATACACCTCATAAAGACACAAATGAAGATTCCCACAACTGCTTCAGAAAATAGCAAGAATGGTGGGATAAGTGTGCTTGAAGGTAGGGAGGATATTTAGCGGGGTTAATGGCAATGTCTTTTTATTTTTTATGTTTTGAGACAGGGTCTTGCTCTGTAGTTTAAGCTGGCCTTGAGCTCACTATGTAGCCCAGGCTGGCTTCCAACTCACGGTAATCTGCCTGCCTCAGCCTCCTGAGTGCTGGAATTGCAGGCATGCACTACCATGCCTGGCTAATGGCAATGTCCTTTTTTTTTTTTGCAACATCTTCTAATTTAAACATTCACTACACACACACACACACACACACACACACACACACACACACACACAGTTAGAAAAGTAAGAAACAGTTCCTGGCACCATGGGAAGAAGAGTCTCCTGATTTCCCCAGCCTAGAGGGGAAAGATGAGGAAAGAAAAAATAGAAAACTTCATAGCACTTTAGAGAGAAACAACAACAAAAAAATGTGCCTAAAGGGACTTACCTGCTCTCCTGGATGGCAAAAACAAATAAGCTACCCGAATTTGGGATGCTAGAGTCTCCTTCTGGACTTCACCATATATTTTGATTACCCTCTTGTATGGTTAGATCTGGGTCTACACCTTGGGACCAGGTATCTCAGTCCTGCTGTTCTTTCCAGAGTGCTGGCTTCCTTCCCCAGCAGGCTCCCCCCATGTGATGGGCCTAGCTGCAGGCTTACATACAGCGTCACAAAGATTCCCTCCGACCTGGTTAAGATCCTGTGCCTTTGTCTGAGCCGATGGCCGTGCAAGGGGCAGGTGCTGTCGTTGGCAGATCTGTGTCACACAGCCCTTCCTGGTAAGCCGCAGTTGAACCTTAAGGTCTAGACATAGGGAGATGTGTCTCCCAAAAGGAAAATAGGGGTGTTTTTGCTAGAAGAAGGGGAATGGATACCGGGCAGGTAGAAATGACCAGGTCAGCGTTCGTGGGCGAAGAAGCATTAAGCATGGCCTTCCAGGTTGGATCATAATAAAGAGGAAGCCAGCAAGCACAGTAAGGTGAGTGGGAATAAAGGTTAGAAGCCAGAGAAATGCCTAGGACGTGTGGAAGTGAGCTTTGACTGTGGCTGTTGCACAGGGGCTGTATAAACGGTAGCAGGAGGGCGACAAAGAAGAGGAAGCCCTCAGAGATGGGGACTGGTTTCTGCTATGATCGTGGGAGAAATGGAACTGGCACCGGGCCCTGGTGGGTGGGCAGGATTTGGGCCTAAGTAAAAACAGTGGCTCTGTGGAAATAAAGTGCTACTGCCTGTGCTGAGGATCCCCGCCTCCAGGCTGACCCCTGCTGCTCTGGGAGTCCTAGGCTTCTCGCTGTGTCACACAGGCCCTGAAGTCGCACCTCACAGGTAGTTTTGCAGCTAAGATACATTCAGGTGGACAGAAACTAAAATGCTCCACAAACATTAATTTTTGCTAAGTCCAAAGTAAAAACTGAGCAGCTTTTGCATTAGTTGCAGTTTTGGATTCCAGCAACAGCATGGATTATCAGAATCCAACTGTTATTTCTGAGGAGGGAACTCACCTACGACAGCCAGCCCCAGCCAGCCCCGCAAGGCACCACTGTGAAGGCCCCACAGCACGTCCGTCTGTGGCTGGGCACTGAGGCCTAGTCCTGCCTCTTCCTGCTGGGTGATCTTGGCCACATGGCTTTATGTCTGTGAGTCTCCTCCCCATAGAATGTGGTGGCTAGGGCTGGACTAGCCTGGGGTCCCCTCCAGAGGCCAGCATGGCTGCCTAAGTATGTGAGTGAGGAACATTCACATTTTTGACAAACTGGAGAGTGAAAGCTAAGCTCAAGGGCTGTATGTTTTTAAAACCTCCTGGCGTGGCCAAATAAGGGCTGAATTCAGCTCACAGACCCAGTCTAAGAGCCTCAAAACCCATCTTGACACTTAATTTCCATGATTCTTCCCCAGCCTTTGAGGAGGATCGCTGCTTTGCTCCTTTCCTGGCACATGGCAATGTCACGACCACAGACCCCGAGTACCGCCCAGGGGCCCTGGCCACCTTCTCATGCCTCCCAGGATATGCTTTGGAGCCCCCAGGACCCCCCAACGCCATCGAATGTGTGGACCCAACAGAACCCCACTGGAACGACACAGAGCCAGCCTGCAAGGGTGAGCCTGACGCCCCATGCATCTGGCAGCCTGCAGACAGCAGCCTGCCCAGCAAGGCCATCGGGGGAGACCACTGTGTACACCTCAGAGACCCAGGCTGTGGGCAGACTCTGTCCTTCGGGGGCTGTTTTCTTAGCTCAATATTGGTGGGCCTCTTACTGTGTTCTGAGGTCACAAATCTGAATATCTTCAAGAGGTAGAACTGGAGCTGGGCTAAACTGTGGATTGGGCAGGAAAAGTGGAGAGTGGGTGGGGTTAATTAAGAATAGGGCAAGGAATTGGGCACAAGACCTAGATGTGGCAAGAATCACGTGGGTCAGTGGGTGAGGTGGGACACGCCTGTGTTCCCCAGGGATGCAGGAGGACTGAAAGTTCTAGTTCAGCCTGGAAGTGAGCACTTTAGTGAGAACCTGGCTCAATGTTATTAAAATGTTGGTGGGGTTGCTGGTGAGAACTGCGGTGGGGGGTCCTGAACCAGACACCTCTTCTGCCCTAGCCATGTGTGGCGGGGAGCTATCTGAGCCTGCTGGTGTGGTCCTCTCTCCCGACTGGCCCCAGAGCTACAGCCCCGGCCAGGACTGCGTGTGGGGCCTGCACGTCCAGGAAGAGAAACGCATCTTGCTGCAGGTTGAGATGTACGTCTGGGTCCCTTTGTGGGTGAGGTGGGGGCTTGGTTGGATGTGAGATATGACAGCTTTCAGGGCCTGGGTCCACAGAGGTTCGCTGGATATGCAGTTTGGTCATTAAACAGGTTCAGGATGGGGCGCGAGCCCTCAGTGCAAATCACACAGTAGCCAGGCGACCTTGGACAAGTAAAGGGATAATGCTGGGGGGGGGGCTGCTGTGAGCGAGGGGGTCTGGCCTGGCATCTCTCTGAGTGTTTTCTGAGGTGGCCCTGGGGCGGCTTCCAGGGGCCCTAGCCCCAAACGTTGGATCACACCAACCTCCGAGGTGGGCGCGGGTGCGGGGAGAACCCAGCAGGCTGACCGGCTCGTGAATGGACACAACCAGAAGTGGGTGTGGCCGAAGGCAGGTGGGAGAGGGGCCCGCCGCGGTGCTGGCGGCCAGATTGGTCTGATTGGCCAGGGCCAAGGGGCTTTCCGAGGAGATAGGGGGTCTGGGGGGGGGGGGGGGGCT